TCAAAAATTCTGACTGAACAGACGAGGGGTAAGTATCCTGTTAATAATGTAATATTATTCTTAACTTAATTTTCAAAAATTCTGACTGAACAGACGAGGGGTAAGTATCCTGTTAATAATGTAATATTATTCTTAACTTAATTTTCAAAAATTCTGACTGAACAGACGAGGGGTAAGTATCCTGTTAATAATGTAATATTATTCTTAACTTAATTTTCAAAAAAATACTTAACCCTCGTCTGTTCAGAGTCAGAACTTGTTAATAATGTAATATCATTCTTAATTTAATTTTCTAAAACTCTGACTGAACAGACGAGGGTTAAGTATCTTGTTAATAATGTATTATTATTATTCGGTTAAACAAGATATTTAGTTACCTAAACTGATTCACACTCTATTAATGACAAGCTAAATATTTCACAATCATGTTAGGAGAGCTTTTATTCGAATCACTTGTGTTAGTTACATGTATTTACCGAGACATCCGTGGACGTAAAACGTCGCTGTGTCCTTCACAGCTCATTTGTTCCCAACAAGAAGCCGGATTTTTCGCCCCACTTGACACCATCCTCGAGGTACAAGAAAACCCCAGTAAATGCGGGTTTATGTGTATAGTTGCCCGGGAACAGAGGAAGGTCAGGTTGGGGAAGAAAAGGAAGGGGTCAGGGGCGCGGGAACCCATCCCTTAGCATTCTAAGGCTAAGTAAACGTAAGAAATGTTTCTTGTGTTGGATTGTATTCTAATGAAACGACGTATGTGGAAGAAGGAGCGTACACACTCCAGAACCGTGCTGTTTAGACAGCATGAAACATGACGTCACTTACACTACTATTTTGCTAACATAAAGGAACCATTGACCACAGAGACAAATATCTGCATGTCTTGCACAGTTTAATTACTCATACCATATATTATTCGTTAGCATTTACGAAGTAAACGTCATTATAAAATGATAACAGGTAGGAGGTAGTACAGGCAACAACGAGGTGTAACTGATCTTTTACCTGTGACACCTAGGAGAAGGCGGCTATGTTACTCAATGTGTAAGTGAAGTGTGACATAGCACTAGAGATATGCACCGAAATATTCAAATTATAGCCTATCATTTGTGACTACTCGTCTTCCAAAGAGAAGCGTTATTTTTAGATTTTCAAAATCATGTAACTCATGAAAATTGTCAACTAATAATAAAAAATATGAACTCAAAATATTCCGGTTGGAAACGTTAAACTTTCAATTATGTTTTGCTGAAACCTTGAACATTTCTCTCGATTTTCTTCAAAATCTGAAAATTAGAACATTAAGATTTCCAATTCGTTAGGAGTACCATGACAAGCTTAGCGGAACTTTAAAATAATCTTTCTTAAGTTTGTCTTATTGTAGTATAGTTTACAAAGTGTTTAAAAATTGAAAAAATGAAGAATCTTGAAAAGTGTTTCAAAGTCGCCAAATAATTTAAACAAATCTTAAATACAAATAATAGAAGCAGTTTGTATTATCTTACACCCCATCGAAACTTTAACTACAAGTAGTTGAAGCGGTTTTTATTATTGTTACACTCCACGGGAACGTTAACTACAAGTAATAAAAACAGTTTTTATTATTGTTACACTCCATAGAAACTTTAACTACAAGTAGTAGAAACAGTTTATATTATTGTTACCCACCATAGAAACTAATTACAAGTAGTAGAAGCGGTTTTTTATTCTTGTTACACTCCATAGAAACTTTAAGTACAAGTAGTAGAAGCGGTTTTTTATTCTTGTTATACTCCATAGAAACTTTAAGTACAAGTAGTAGAAGCGGTTTTTATTCTTGTTACACTCCATAGAAACTTTAACTACAAGTAGTAGAAACAGCTTATATTATTGTTACACACCATAGAAACTAATTACAAGTAGTAGAAGCGGTTTTTTATTCTTGTTACACTCCATAGAAACTTTAAGTACAAGTAGTAGAAGCGGTTTTTATTCTTGTTACACTCCATAGACACTTTAACTACAAGTAGTAGAAGCAGCTTGTATTATTGTTATACTCCAAATAGAAATTCTAACTACAGATAATAGAAGCAATTTGTATTACTTTGACAATCTGTATAAATCTATATGTGTAATGTCATTAGCAGTGCATTGAGGAATGTCCCATTAGTGTAAATGCTACTGGATCAATGTTTAAAACAAATTCTTATTCATGTTGTTAGAGAACAACAGTCTTGGGTATACAAACTTTGAAAGTATAGAGTCACCACTATGGATACATCTCACAAAACTTTGTATTTATTTATTCATTTCGTAACCGGCCACGCTATACAACTATATACCAAGTAGAAGAGGCTTCCTAATGCTTACATTCATAAAGTGTTTCTTGATACATAAAACATATAAATTAGACCCTGTACGGTTCTTGACAAAATTACACACCTTATTAAACTACAAATTAACTGTAGCAAACAACAAAACCTGTAGTATTGGTAAATATATATATATACTTTTTATGTAACCAGCGACCAAATGAGGCTGGAATGAGCTAACGTAAAAAGTACTGGCCAGTTTGTTTTTACTTAAAAAATGAGGTAAGCACTTTTTTTTTGTCTTTGATGCAGGAAAAATCAACTGTGATCCAACAACTACAAACAAAATTTTAACTCTCTCTCTCTCTCTCTGTCTTTTTACAGTTACAGTTACGTTTGAAACGCTGTGAAAAATACAACACCGGAAATTGGAAGGTTTTCTTAAAAATATAAATTAGAGCAATTTTTCACAATTATGCAACTCTTAGTAAAACTGAACAAATCAAGTTACAGAAAAAGGTTAATCTGAATGATAATGACGTCAGATCTATGTTAAAGTTGAAACATTTAACACCAGTGCAGATTAGTGTTCATATAATTGCACTTTTCATAAAGTAGCGGTGATAGGTCAGACCAAAACTGTGGTATACCACATAAAATATAATGATGATACCTTAATAAACAATTTGAAAAAAAAAACAAACCTTGAAATAAATTCAGACATTTTATAATTTATAAGCTAAGAAAAGTTTGGGTAAAATATTTCTATTTAACAAATCCTGTTTCTCTTTCATTAACACCCATCATATTTTTTTTATTTCACAATATGAATCAGATCATAACTTGACATTTCGTTCCACGCACATAAATGTTCTTTAACTGCATGACTTTGCTCTACTCTCAAGAAAATAGAATCCCGTGCTTTTATATGACTAATATGAACAGATACAGTCCTTGTTTTCAACACTAAATAGTGTGTGAAATGAAGATCTTTCTCCTAGGAGTCTTAAAATGAAACAGTATAAGAACTGGTAAAACGGACCCTGAGATGATGCTGATATCATTCTATATTATTGTTTATAGATACTGTCTGCCTAAGAACAGAAATGTATTGTGTTCTTACTGCTCACAGGAGTATTGTTTTAACAAGAGAAATAACCCAAAATTCCAAATGATTCTACTCCTGAGTGATATATTGAAGGCGGAGGGTTAAAAATGCGGGAAAATTCGTTCCCGGTGTTCCGTATATTAACTTTGTTTATGTCTTGTTAACACATACTGACAGGAAATCTGTTGCTGTTGTTGTTTTTTTTTGACGAAATATCGTGTCAATTTGTTAGGTTTAAAAGATTGTATGTTTTCAGCTAAAGAAAGATAGATGAATGATATCATTGTATGTTAAACATTATTGTTGTTAGTGGTAGTTCGCTGCCTCGACTAAGCCAGATAGATATGTATTATTATTATTATATATTAAACATTATTGTTGTTAGTGGTAGTTCGCTGCCTCGACTAAGCCAGATAGATATGTATTATTATTATATATTAAATATTATTGTTGTTAGTGGTAGTTCGCTGCCTCGACTAAGCCAGTTAGATATGTATTATTATT